TTCCTATTTATAACTTTACTATGCGATTGGCACTTGCAAAATTTCTGACAGTCACCTGAATGAGAATCATCTTCTAGTCTAGCTATCTGCTTTCTAACGCTAAACTTGTAGCTGAGTTTTATTTTCAACTATTCAGGTAAATCTGATACACTGATAACTTCATTTGTTCAGTGTTTAGCTATTACAGTGAAGTTTAGTTTAGTCAATTTATGAAATTAGATGGAAATTCATGTGTTGAATAAACAATTCGCTATCCTGGGAATTAAGTAACAAGATAACATCTAGCCAACATATAACATGTCCACAATCATAAAACAAACGCAAAGTTATCAGATATAAATGTACGACCGGATACACAACTTACTGTTACACTTGCAGTCGTAAAACATTTTCTGTTAAAAGCTTCAAACCAGTAATTCATCTCGTTTGTAAATGCAGTCTCTGCAGATCTTTACAAATTATCATGTCTAATAATAGGTTAATCAGATTATCTCAGAGAAGCATGATCTGCGGGACTGTTTTTATATTATACTGGATGGAATAAAAACCTGAATGGTGGTAGAATTTCAACTACTGGTATGAGGAATGTTATCCCAGCTCTCTACCAACTGGATTAAAAACTTAGGCACTAACCAAGTGTTTACTTCTTATCAGTTAACGAGAATTTCGTAAAGCATTTATTTGAATTGAAACTAAATAAATGTGTTTGCTTTATTGCTACGCTAAACGTAAAATTAGGTATTCTCATGCCATTTTCAAATGTACTGAGTAAGATGGGTGACAGTGGGTCAGGTATCATTTGTTTGGTAACTGGGAGACACAACACTTGGTATGAACCGTACACCTATCAACAATACGTTACATACAATAATCATTATAGAATATATTTAAGTTCTGTTGTGACCTTGATAGGTGATAGCAAGTTTAGATGAAAATCTTTGTGACTCTCAGTACATGATGTTGAATGTTACGTCTACTTAAATACTTGTGATTAACCATGATGAAAATCGTGCAATACATATATATATATATATATATATATATATATATATATATCACAGAAGAGAATACCCAATAGGTAAAGTTCATTTTAAGCCCTCTCAGAGGATTCGCCAGTTAGATAATCATTATTAAGCTTATAGGGTGAGATGTCTGAAGATAAGTTCCACTGAAACACGCTCTTTTATGCGCCGGGTTCAGGGTGATCAAGAATGCTCTGACCTCGGGTGGAGGCTCACAAGTGCACCTCAGTGGGTTGAAACTCGCGACGGATCCTAACCGGGTACGCTCAAGCGTGTAGTTTTTGTCACTGGCAAGGACTAACGGTCCTCCCTTTATTTAATGCTTCGATGGCATAGCGGTTAGGACTCTCACTGACCATGCACATGGTCCAGGGTTCGATCCCCGGCCAACACAAACCTGATATCAATGGTCAGCCTGCAAAATTTGGGCAACCGATATCACATGGTGAAAATTCCATAGCTGTACCAAAAATATTTTGTGAAATCAAGCTATATTCAAAAATTAAAGAAAAATACTTTTGCTTCTAGCATAGAGCTACGATGGTTTAAATCATGTTGTTAAACAGTGAAGTAGTAAAAGGATAATAGCGAAAAAAATGTGAAATTAAGGGGAATAACAGCCACCTTTTTTCTTCACATACAAGTAATACAACATGAAGAATTTGTCTACGGTTAGTAAAACATAGAGGTGTTAGATAGAGGAGATAGGCAAACAGCAAACTCATCTTTAGGTCAATTTATATACTACTCAAATACACATATTAAATCTCAAGCGAATTTGTAAAATATGTAGTCACTTTAAGCTGGACATATAGTCTGTCACACAACTTTGACATCATCAGTGGATTGTAGTCTAGTTATTGAACAAAAATGCCTATAAAACTGCAGTTGAGAGTAGTAAACTTAGATTCACATAACTTTGTCAGTTCTCACTGACATGTCCTGCACTAGGAATAAGTAACTGCCTAGTGAGATTTTGTCCTCACTTGTTTTCTATCTGATGCCGTTTCAGAATTTGAAGTTATTTAAATGATGGTGAATAGCAGTGGAACACCATCACTTCCTACGGAAACAAGTATATTCAAATGACAAGTCCCTATTGGGGTGGATGCACATCCCAGATCCTATTAGTAACATCTTCAGACGTCGCTAAAGTGTCCTTAATAGTAGTCAACATGTCGGCACTAACCGAACATTTTGCCCTAATAAAAGCAGTTAGCGGGAAATAAAAATTAACCCAAAAAAGCTATTTGAAGTTATTCGTTTATATCCAAATGCTATTTAAAGGGACTATGTACCATAGAAAATAGCTGATTTATATTCAAAGCGTGGGCACTAGTTTTGTTCTTCTTGAGTTTATGAAGACTCGTAGTGCATTCTACTATTCAATCAAAAAGAACACATTACCTCAAGTGTTAACCTAACCGATTCTATGCCCTTATAGTGTATGTGCGCATCCTCTTTCAAGTGTTCGCAGTTCACTTCGTAATATTTTGCATTGGCCAGTTACTGATCAGACCAGCAGATTGGAAGAGGAATTACATCAATGACTTAGATTTCCTTCCATCCTTCAGTGTAGAGTTTTTTTCCTTTGAATAACCTAAGTTGTACAAGGTGCAACGTGGTGGGCTGTTTAAATCACTGAGCTACCTATATTTTCCATCCATCAAAATGCATTGCATTCACTCAGCTTTATATTGTTTTAGGCGTCTCATTACAACAATGAGTTGCAATTTATGCTCGTACAAAATTTAAAGTAAGTTTCTACCTGTTGCGGGAACAACAGTGTGGAGGAGTAATGGAACGATATTTCGTCTTATTCTCTACACGACCAGTGGTGATTCCTTGACTGGAAGGTGAAGTACCTAGGCTAGCCACTTCAAATTGTATCTACTAATTCAACTGGGCTTGTGGAGCGAACTATATTGGCCGTTGCTTTAGGAACTTGATTTTTCGTGCTCGAGAACTTCTCCTACTGTGGCTAAGTAAAGGTAAAGTTAAAACCATTAACAGTTTGATATTGGACCATCTGGCGCAAACTGGCCACAAAGCTGGCGTGGAGGAATCCTTCTCTATCATCTACTAGGTGCCTAATAAATTGCCAAAATCATCGAAGCACCGCATGCTCCAAACAGCAGAGGCTATTACAATTCGCCTCAAACAACCAGTGTTCTGTGTTCAAAAGAAGCAAGTTTAGCCCCTACTACTGCCCTGGTCTTCAGGAGAAGCTATAAACTCATGAATTTGTAATATTATCATTCCTATTTTTTCTGACATTCAGCTTATTTAATGTTGATGCCATCTAGCTGTAATCTATCAATATTATTGATTCGACGTTATTTAAACAACATTAATGTTGTTCATAACATTAATTCATTCATTCACTATAATATATATATATATATATGACTGTAGAGCCTGATGATGAAGTTATCGAAAAGAGTATTATTTGTTCAGCGTTCATTCTTTTGAAAATTTTAATGGGCATTTTTTATCAGTTAAAACGACAGATTATCAATTCTTATATTATTTAAATATTCTGCACAAGAAGTAAATGCCTTGCTATGAAACTAGCTGAAAGTAAGATGCTATTTAGATATTTCTGAGATATCATTTATGGTAGAAACAATTCAAGGCCACTTCAATGGTGTTGATGCGACTATTTAATAGTATACACTTTAAATCACAAATTTAGGCTTATAAATAAACCAGACAAAGAATCTTGTCGGTTACATTGGAGAATATTCGCCCTTGTCATCCGCCGAATACAATAGTTCAACTGTAATCTAATTAACGTGCGCTAACCTCACACCTCAAACATTTCGGCTCTGTTGTACACATAAACAATTAAGATGATACATTAAATGTCTGAAAGTTTCGTAGTAGGAAAGTGTGATGCAGTTTGTAACAATGAGTCCGACATATTCTTTACGGAATATCAATCTCTTCTAAAATAAAACATTTGAATCTCTCAAGCATCATATGAATAACATGAAGCTCTGCTTAGAATTCAGGCAAGGGCAAAGTTAAGCTATCATGGTCAAAACTCCAGTGACTTTGAACGACCACCCAGAATTCACATGCAATAAAATCGCATAGTCTTTGGAAAACACTAAAAACATTGCAAACATGATATTATACCATGTAGTTGTCGTTTATGCATTGTAAGAATTTCTCCAAGTTACTACACAGATGGTTTGAGATGTATTATTATTTCTGACACTGTTCTTTGAAATACTCCTAACTCTAACCCTGATCTTAACTCCTGCGTCTAATTTCAACCCTAATTCTAACCTTAACTCTAGACCCTAAATCCTAATATAAAAAACTGTAACCCTACCTTACAGTATAAATTTACAGAAAAAGTACCTAAAGAGTAAGGGGAATACTGTATTTTCCTTCTCCAAGTTCAAAAAGGCAGGCATGATTTTATTTGGAACAATCTTCTATAGCATTCGCTATATCTGATTGGTTCCTGAAGGTCAAACCTTGGAAGACCTTGTCCTTGGTTATGATCCTTTAACTTCGACCAGGCCAGTTTTCTTTTGTTTATTACATAAGCTAAAATCCGTTTGGAGGCAAACCTTTTTTTTTCAGGCTTTGAGAAATTATGTGTATTATTCTTGAAACAATTGTTTTTTTTCTCTATTTAATTATTGCCACCTTGAAATGTGTCTTTTAACTGAGTTAAATTCTTTATAAAGAAACTTGTTTATCTCTCAGCTAAATCGAATTTAGTATTTTTCAAAAGTTTTGTATGAAAGCACTGAATACAACATTTATGTAGCAATAGATTTAATGTAACAATTCGTTTTTGAAAAATTCTTTATGTGAAAGAGTAATATGATTTCGGCATCATATCTAATTGCTATTCTGATTGGCTAAAAGTGACTATTACCTACACGCAGTAAGAACCAATCATATCTCTAGGTTAAATGACAATAGAGTTCATTTTAAACTGGAATGTATAATTGGTTGAAATAAATTAGTAAGCAATTTAGTTAATTAGTTATCCTTTTCTGCTCACGTTTGATGACTTCAACAAGATGATTTAATCGCACTTTACTATGGAGATTATAATGACCTACCTATTCGGTAGTAATGACTGAAACAACACGGAAAATTGTGGTTGTTGGAGATGGCATGGTTGGAAAAACTGCCTTACTATCAGCATTTGTAAATGGTGCATTTCAAGATTATTATATTCCGACTGTATTTGAAACATCAGCTAAAGAAGTTGAACTACCAGATGGTCGTCATGTAACTTTAGGCTTATGGGATACTGGTGGTCAGGAGGAGTTTGATCAAATTCGTCAACTAGCCTATCCTGGTGCCAGTTTAATTCTATTATGTTATGCAGTAGACTGTCCAACTAGTCTCGAGAATATTGTACATACATGGCTTGATGAAGTAAAGTGTTACTGTCCGCATATACCACTTATTTTAGTCGGATGTAAAGCTGATAAACGTGTAGTTCCTAAAGCAGGGAAGTTGAATAACTCTACATCGAATGCAACACAAAATACACTTATTGATCCAAATGATGCAGTCAAAGTGTGTAAACAAATCGGTGCACAGATTGTTATCGAATGTTCTGCATTGACAAGATCTAATGTGAATTCCATATTTGAACTAGCTGCTCGTATTATACTGGATACAGATAAAGAAAGTATGCGATCATCGAAATTTTGTAGTATCCTACCTATTCACAGGAAAAAGTCGATTTCATCTAATGGTGCAGTAGCTGGCAAGTCAATTGTTACACGTCGAAGCTCAGAATTGAAACGACGAATATCTAGTTCAAATTATTTTTGTTTCTTAAGAAGGCGATGAGGTATTCAGCCTTCAGATGACTTTGTTGTATTTAAAAGAATTATACAAAGCATAGTTAAATGATGTCTTTCGTTTAATTATATATATATATATATATATATATATATATATACATATTATCTGAAGTCAGAACAATGTTACTCTATCTGAGGAGAAACAGATGTCTTTCACTAGCCAACACGCGGAAACTAATGTGCATATCAGGAGAATAGACCTACTCAAGGAATATTCATATATTTGTCCTATATGAATGAATCCAGTCAGTGTTTCAAGGTAACCTTGTACAAGTTTAAGATTGATAAAACAAATAACAAAATATATCAGGAATCTATTCATTCTTTCTGATAAAAGATTATGTACAGTTAATTGTTGTTATTTGACATCAATAAATATCACCTTATGGTAAGTGTTTTATATTGATGAATGCTTGTATTATTACACGTAAACGGTAACATAATAAATGTACTCATACGTAATATTAAACCTGTACCAGTGAAGTCTGTTTGAATTTGTAATAATGTATAATTTTGAACAATGTGTTATTATTACTTCTATTATTATTATTATTATCATTCACTAATGAATATTCTTGTTACTGTCATTGTCATTGATTCACTTGTCTTATTACGGCTTTACTCACCGGTCTGATGATCTTCTGTGTTATTAGTTTTGTTATGAAATTTAAATGAACTATTATATATATATATATATATAAGTCGTTGTACAATAGGAATTTTTACTGTCTTCTCTTGATGTTGACAATTCACTTTAAAATTGTGTGGTTTGGATTTTATTGTTGCGAAAGAGAAAGAACTATAACAAGTGTTCTGCCTAACGATTTATGAAGGGGAACTTTCGGGTTATAAGTGACCTGTAGAAAGTCTACCAAGAATAGCATATCACACGTCATTGTGTAAAATGAAATGAATTCATATTAAGATCAAAGTCTTTTGAAGAATTTTATTCAACGACTAAGAATATTTCATATTTTGAAACAGTGGAGATTTGTGCGTCGGTGGCACAGCGGTTAGGACACTCACCGACCATGCACATGGTCCGGGGTTCAATACTCAGCCTATGCATTCCTTTACCTCGCTAAACCAGAAATAATGCTGGTTAAGAGGAAAGGTTGTGCATGAGGCTAGCAAACCCATCCTGTAAAATTAAACACTGTTACAGAAACTTCAAGCCACTAGCCTGAAGCTCTATGTTCCGCTGGGAACGCGAAGAAAATAAAAAAGGGGAGATTTGTAGATCAGGATGAGAACGTCTTAATAAAGTAAGCGTTGTAGCTGCTATCAAGACTTGTGCTGGAATTTCCACAGTCAAAAATGAAGGCTTAGAAACACATCAAAATATTGATTTCGGATGCTATATACTACTGAGTGGTTGAATACTATTCACATCAACCAGTAGTTCATGCTATCCAGGTCTAAATAATTTAAACAGCCGATGGCTGTTTCCATCGTTTGGGGTCAGGCTTACCAGTGTCGTAGCCGGTTCACACCGTTTTAGAATTACTTGAATTCTCACTAGCTACTTCATGATATTTTCGGTGTTCACAGAATTGAGCAGTCGGTCTCATTGTCCTTTGTAAACAATATTCTTCGCTGATTACACAAATGCACATTAAATGGGAACGATTTCACATAAATTCATTCGGCATATTTTCCTTCCTTTACTAAAATGCAAAACTATGCTGAAGAATATACAAAACATTCTCAGCGAAATTGGATGGTAATACGTTCATGTCCCACTGAGTCATCATAACTTATATTTATGTGAATAAATCTAGGGAAAACGATTTGTTTCCAACTGATAAAAGATTGATAAGATGACAGTGTGATTACCACAGTAATTTCAACAGTTTTTTTCACTAGTAATTTTAGATATAAACAATGCAAATTTACAAGATGTTATCTATTCGCTTTGCAAAGCATACAGAATTTATGAGAGGAGGTAGGTAGACTCCATAAAACATGAATAATTCAACTGATGAAAAAGACTGCACATTACTCTTGGTTTACCTGGCATAACATAATTCTTGTTATATTGTTGTGTTCTATTCAAGAGTATAGGTCAACGTGTTAAGTAGGCTTCATCATTATTTAATATCTAGTACGCCTTTGTACTAATTGATTGAAAGTTCTGTCCAGATGAAGAGAACCTTTTGGAGGGAATGAATATATTTTATTTTATAAGCGGTGTTTGTCTAGTGTGTGTGTGTGTGTGACTGACAAGATTTATCAGTAGCATATAAAGAGACGTTCATCAACACAAAATATCGAATAGAAGAGTGATAAACTTGATGTCAGAGAAAGAGAGAGAGCAAATGCTTCAGTGATTCGACAAAACAGGAAAGAAACGAAAAGAAGACAAAGAAACACAATACGAAGGGCAAAAAGTAGCACAAGGTGAAAGATCTGTGCAAATGACGATTTTCATTTACGGTATAGATAATTTTTCTATATTTGTATATCAAACTGCAACCGGATATTCCGTTACTTTATATGAAAGTCATCATTGGCACTGATCTTCCGCAGCGTTCGTCGGTGGTATAGCGGTTAGGATGTTTGCCGGCCATGCACATGGTGCGGGGTTCGACGCCTAGCAGACGCACTCCTTTATCACGCTAAACGAGAAATAAAGCTGGTAAAGAGGAAAGGTTGGGCATGAGGCTAGCAACCCATCCTGTGAAATAAACACTGTAACAGAAACTTCAAGCCACTAGCTTGAAGCCCTATGTTCTAATGGGAATGTAAAGGAATATATATATATATATTCCGTATTGTGCTACTTCTCCCCTTCGTATTGTGTTTCTCTGCTTTTTTTGGTGTCGCCTTTTTGTCGAAGCACTGATTTATTTGCTCTCTCTGACGTCAAGTCGACCACTCAGCCATTTGATATTATATGGTGATGAACGTCTGTTTATATGCCACTGATAAGTCTTATCAGAAGCACACGCCACATTTGTAGTTAAATTTGTACAGCTAATATTATTATTATTCTCTAGGGTTCCAAGTGGGACATATGGATTCAGCAATACACCTCCATTTCATCCTGCCCTTTGAGAACCTCTTTAGCTGGTCTCAAGATTTCCCAAAAGCTCTCATCTAGCCACACGATTTCCTCTACATTATCCTTGGATGTTCAATTCTTCGCTTTCCATTCGGGTTTCACTTGAAGGCCTGATAAGTAATGTCACTCAGCAATCCAGTCAGGATATCATAAACTTGGCTATGTATGAATTTGCAGCCTCTTTTTTGGATAAAAGTAGAGGCTTAACCTTGAGTTTATGGTTGAACTGATATGGATATCCATATTCAGTCAAGACTTTTCTCCGAAGTCTTATCTGTTTTGCCATACCATTAGAGTAATTTAAGTGTATCGGTTGTCTATAACATAATATCAAATTCCTTTGACTATCGAATTTTTTAGTTGACCATTCCAGATCAGCTTTCTATTGATCGATACCCTCAACTTTCCGTCAGTCTTCTTTATTAGTTTTTTTCGGAATGAAAAGATTCTGAATCCCTTTCCTTATTACAACGGTGAAATTTAGGTTGGTGGATGTTATTAAGTATATGCAATATATAATTCATATTAAAACCGCTGCCTACATACTTCTTGTACAGTTGAAAATCAGTGATTTTCTGCTTAAGTGAACCGCTATGCACAATGGCAGCTAATGGATCCAGCCGAGACCTTACGCCACTTCGATGTGTTACTGAATGTGCTTCTTTAGTAGTAATACCTGTAAATATGCGTTTGGTATTCAAACACTTAAGTAAATTTTATTCACTTATTTACATAAAGAAACATTGATGATATTTCCTTACTAAAGTGTGGAACTGTTTAGATCACATGATTTTTCCTAACCAATTCAGAAATAACCAGTGTTAATTATGTGTTATTAAAGATTACTTGGATCAATTATTAGTATATATACCGAATTGATCTAGTTAATGAACTTTATTCAAAAACGTGCGTAGTTTGTAGATTAATACATCAGTAAATAGTATTTATCATGTGGCGAAACAATAATTTTATAATTCAACAGCAGCCAAGAACACCTTTTCGTTTACATTACAGAAGAAGCAGAAGAAAGTAGCAGCAATCAACGTAAATTTGTTTTTGATGAGTTCATTTTATTTTCTGATGTTCTTATCAAATATCCGTATTGTATGACATTCTGTGATATTAAATTACAAAGTGTTGGTACCATGTTACAGTATACCTTATACTGTGAAGTCTGTTCATTAGTCTATTCCAAACAGCTGACATTTAACATCTCAAACTTTAGTCGTAAGTAATAGCAATTCGAAATCTTGGGATATTATAAATTCTCACGGGGCTTTACATGAGTTTGATCATGTCTCAGTCTGCGGGTGGTAGAGTGAACGTAGTAAAAGAATAGCTGTGGAGATTTTATGTACAGCTTCCTAATCAAAATGTAAGTTTTATATTTAGTAAGAAGCTAAATAGCTAGCTCACCTTGAAGATGTGCAATATCGTATGCGGTCTTTTGTAGAAATAACGATGAGAACAGTCAATAACTGAGAGGTAAAGATCAGCACAAGCCCTTAGATTCCTATTCTTTCATCCCAACCGACCGATATCAGGACACCGATAACGGTGGGCTGGGAACATGACGACGAAGTAAAGCTGTCTATACCCCAGCCTCATAAAAGCTCCGGCAATCATCATTAAAATGGAAATGAAGACGTAAGAAGTGGTATCGGGGCTAGACGACACCCTTTAGCTACTGAGGCGTATCACTACTACATGAAAGCCGTGTTGAACTAAGCGAGCTCCACGAAGGAAGAAAACTTCTCAGACAAAGCGAATGCTGTCCTTATGGATCACTTCAAGTGGTAATCTGTGTGATCTGCAGTGTTACAATATTCCCCTATCATCCAACCCTATCCAGAATAATATCGAGTTGTTGGTCCTCCAATGCCAGTTAGGGAAGCGATAACTACATCTTCTATAAAAAAAACAAAGACAGTAACACTCTTTCACCAGACTGTAGACTATCCCACTACATAAGAAAACTAATAACTCTTCATGTGATAATTACAGGCGATCAGCCTAACTAACCCCGTATCTAAGATTCTAGGTTTCATAGTCCTTTGAAGACTAAGTGAGTCTCAGGAAAATGATCTGTTGACTAATTATGCTTTCCAAGCTACCGGGTATTAGAAATAAATTGATCGGTTTGTAAAGTGAAATAAAATAGATACTCACATTCAAGGTATAATGTGAACCTATCGATATCGTTGAGAGTGCTTGTCAACATTACTACAGTTCAATTAGAAGGTAAACTAGTTTCGAAGATGTTGCTTATTGAAATAATCCACCATTGGTTTCCAGATTCAAACCCCAATTTGCCACTTCTACGTAGATTACAGGACAGTGTGCATTACAAAGTACTTTCAGACGTCTTTAAGCCATTGATGATATCAAATCGGTAATACTGTGACTTGAATCTTGAATGCTTAAGGTTCAACTCGGGTTATTTTGTTTACATACATACAACTACATACTTTGTGTCACCAGTTTATTTTTCATATAATTCAACTCGTATTTCTTCCTCTACACCGAATTCGTCTGAATTCACCTCTGGAGAGCTTGACTGACTCCAAATGTGAGAAACAAACATCTGATGTGCAGATCACTTCTATTTTCTCGGTGATCACCACTGATTAGTGCAA